GATATACACAAAAGTTATGGGCGGTTAGTAAGGGGGCGTACCTCTTCGTTTCGTAGTGGGGCGACGTGTCGCTGTAGTGCGTCTGTATGCCTTGGTGGCGGATGGGAGGATCTGGTGTATGGCTGGTGTCGATCTCTGTTGGAGCGGGGGAGTTGTTCTCGTCGTCCTTCGTTCCGTCGATCTCTTCTCGTTTCTGAGTGTATCGCTGTTAGCCGTTGGGTCGGCCCATTAAGATCATCCTCGTCCGCTCGTACCTCGGCGCAATAGGCGTTGTGGATTTCCTCCCATGTGGTAGGGGGATATTTCATGAGGCGGCTCAGCAGCTTCCTGGTTGCCCTCGAACCATCTCTGCTTAGCCCGTTCTGGAAAGCGGCGACTGCCATACCTTCCGATACATTTGGTAGACTCATCCTTACCCTGTTAAACCTTGCCAGGAAGTCCCTGAGTCCCTCTCCTGTGTTTTGCCTGATGGCGAAGATGTCGTTGACCCTGGCCTCCGCTTTCTTCGCGCCTGCATGGGCTGTGACGAATTTATCCGCCATTTCCTCGAACGTTGTTATTGCCTTAGCCGGTAGCTGAGAGTACCATGTTATGGCCCCTCCTGTCAACGTCTCGCCAAACTTCTTCAGCAGCACCGACGGTACCTGTTCTTTCGATAGGTCGTTGCCCTTCACAGCGGTGACGTAGTGGATCAGATGATCCTCGGGATCTGTGGTTCCGTCATATACCCTTAAGTAGGGTGGCATCTTGAAGGTTTTTGGGGTGGAGTGAGGAGCAGCTTCTTCGGTGTATGGTTGTTCAACGAACCTTCCCACGCCGCGTTTTGGTAGCAACTTGGGAGCACCGGGGATCTTGTCGACCCTCTCCTGATGTTCCTTCATCTGACCGCGGAGCGCCTTGTTTTCGCTTTCCATTTCTTCCATCTTCTTTAGGATGGCTGTTAGCGTGCCATCGTTGGTCTGTGTCTCGATGGGTCTGTTATTTACCAGTGTAACTTCCGGTTCACCTACTGCAGCAGTGGTACCTACCGTTGGTGCACATACGATGTTATTTTGCGGTGACCTCTCAACCAAGCCACTTAGAGTGCTTGTTAGCCATCTTTCCAGTTGCTCTTTGACCGCTGAGGGTGCTTCCGTAGCCGCAGATGTGGAAGCTCCTTTTTCGTGCAAGATCGTCAGGCCTTCGGATGGGGAAGGTGAGATCTCTGCACCTGGTGTGATGCTAGGGGTTTCATTCAGGATGCCATCGTCACTGGCCTCGTTGAGAGGGCCCAGGAGATTGGTAGTGACACCCAATATGGCTTTCGATCTTGTGTTATTTTCGGCCATTTTCTGTTTTTGAGTGGTGTAGAGAGTAGTAGTTGGTTGATCTCTAGGTGGATACTATGGTTTTGATTCTCGATATCCCCACAGACGGCGTCAAATTGTTTGGCTCAAAAGTTAACGATGTACTTTGTAAGCGATAAAACAATCAAAAAATAGAGAAGGGGTAAATCGTAATCAAATATAATAAGCCTAGAGATGCAAAGATGATAATATTGTAGTAGATCTAATATTGCAAAGTGGCAATGTATGTTAATAAGGTATTTTCGTCAGAAGTAGTGATATAGAGAGAGAAAGACAGAAAATGAGAGAGTTGTATTAGATCAGATGATCCTTTTTACAATGTGGAGGTCTCCTTTATATAATAGGAGACCTTCCTCGAAAGAATCAAAAAGTTACAGAGATAGGTAACGTCTCCCTAGTATAGACACTGAGTTCTAAACGACGTCGCTTTGGTCCTCACGGCCGAGTCGTACCCGCTACGTTGGTCGGCGTACACTCATTGGGGGTACCCACTGGCGTAGAGATACTGAGGGTCAAATTTGACCCTATACAAGTGCATGAGGTAATTTCAGTTGATTCAGCTCCTTCAATTACTCCTACTAATGATTCCTTTGAAATGAAATATAGTCTAACATTCTGTTAACTATCATTATATTACACTATACTTTCATTTTTAGGTCTTTCATATTTAAGAGAAAATGTACTTGCGTATAGGTTACTGACATTACAATCATTAAAATGGGTCATTTGGCTGATGAGGAAATGGGTCTAAAAAGTGGGTAATAGGTGAATTGGATTCTTTACTAATTAGTGTGTACATTTTGTATCGAAAACTGTTATTTGAAAAGTGTGGCCGGGCGTATACTTTTTGTTATAAAAAATGTATAATTTAATTAGGTATTTCCTAGTTACTATCTAAAACAATTAAGGGGACGCCCATAGCGGATGGCGGGCTGATGAAGGCGGATCAAGCAAGATTGAGATTAGGCAAATCCCATTTCAAAATGGAAGAGTAAAGTGAAAATTTATAAGGCATAACACAAGTTTGCATAGTACGCGCGCTTTTTGGGCTCGATGATGGTGTAGCCCAGGAGACAAATCCATGATGTCTGTTGGGCAAAAGCTGAACAATACGTGCCATAGACAAGAAGGGATATGCACATGTCGCCTAAGCTTCGTGTCGAAATGAGAGATGAAAGTGAAGATCTTTATACGGCACAACACAAATTCACATGATACGCACGCTTTTGGTTTCAATAATAGCGTAACCGGAGATAAATCCATGAGGTCTGTTGGTCCAAAGCGGGCAATACATGCCATTTATGCGGGTCTTGATAATTTACCCTGCGCTTAAAGTATGAAAATTTGTTACAATATCAGATTAACTAAAAGGCAATACTTTGTTATATGAAAAATAAGGCAAGTAACCTTCATTTTCCTCTATCTTGCTATTTATTATATTCTTAGTCTTTGTTAATTAATTTATATACATAATATCATCTTGCCGCTCCAACCAACACTTAGTTATAAGCCCAAAAAAAAAAAATTCTAATAAGAAACCCTTTGAATAAACGAGGCTTTCGGGATAGAAAAATTTGCATACAAGAATAATCCCAATTCGATTTATCTAGTTAAGGTTAAATTGAACTAATAGCGTAAATTAAAATTTCATCACAACATTATTAGTGGATATAAGTTAAATCTATTTTCCGATGCCCTCTTTATTCAAGTATTTAGTTTTTTAACAGAGTCGAATGTGAGATTAACTCATGACATTTAACATTAGAAATTGCGAGTTTCAAATGAAAAAGAAAACTCATATGGAAATGAAAGGGTACAGCACGTGCACTTAAATTCAAATTGTTTTTCAGAATGTTACCAACTTTATCTTAGAAAGTGCTATTTTAAGAAGACTAATAAATTGCTCTTAAGAACTCTTTCGGAGACTGACATCTAAAGACGATTCTTCCATATGTAAAACATTGTTTCATTTAAAAAGACGAAAATTATTCAATGCACAAACTTGACTTTCATGACATTCTAGTGCTACAATATCTTTTTGAGTAAAGTTATTAGTTTAAGTGAAATTGACTTAATTCCGCTTGTTTATACTATAACTATCAGTATTACTACTATATAGAAGCCGCTTGGGAAGCAGGTCAGGGTCATCATGCCTGCTTGCCAAGGGCAATTTGGTCATTTCAGGTGCCGAGACAGGGGCTTTTAGGTCTTTTCATTGCCTTTTTGAGTTCTGCAATATTTTCACGGGCTTTTGTACAGCTATACACGTAGCCTAAAATTTGCTGAGTAAGCGCCATGACCTGCAGAGCCTTTTCATTGTTTCATCTGCCTTGCTCTACTCCATCGTCTATTCACCTGCATACCTCTTTATTTTCCCCTTTACTTCTCGATTTCTCTCTGTGAATTCTCCTGTTGGCATATGCAGGCAGTTTATCCATCTTTGTTTTATTTGAATTCGGTGCGTGCTCTTTAATTTAGTTAGTTGTTTGTGCAGTTTTCTTTGTTTATTGCCTTCTTCTACTGCTAATCTATGTTTTGGTTGGTAAATGTTCGTTTTCTGCTCTTTTGCATAATTGTTGCAAGAATCTTTACATACATATCAGTAAATATTCCTGATTTGCACATTTACTATGTGTTTTGATCAAATTTGTTCGTTTTCTGCTGTCTAATTGTTTTTGATTTGCACATTTACTATGTTTTTTTTTATGAAATTTATCTTTTGCTGTCAACTAATCAGTTCAGGGTTAAATAGCGAAGTTCTTTTTTATCATCAACAAGGTCTTAATTTTATCGGTGAATTGCTTCTACTTTCCTATTCTGCTGCACCATGTAAGAGATAAGCCTCAAAATTTATGGACATTACTAACAGAGAAAAAAATATACTTGGACTTCCATTAGGGTGAGAACATCTTTATGTGGCAACACACATCTGTAATAGAAAGATAGAATGTCGCAAATATCCGTGTGCTTATCATCTTCTTATGCAACATTCTTCACCTTAGGATACATGTTTCTGCACTAGATGGCCTCTTTTCCGATATTCAATCATGGAAAAAGGTGTATAAACGATAAACCAAATGTTTACACTTTTTTTTACAATGTCAAGAAGGGAAATGTTGGACTGATCACTAGAACTATGATTAAATTCCTAGAATCCCTCTAAGATTAGAAGATGGCTATACATTTGGTTTTTTGCTCACTTGTACTGAAAATTCCAACACTACCTTATAAAGATTTTATATATATAATATGCCTCTTCCTTCAACATTGCTTATATTATGTATTCATTGGCTTTGATTTCAGGTAGTATTGCCGATTGACGACATCTTTGATATGCTTCACTTGGCTAGACTATCAACTTTGGTGTCATTCTTTTGCATAGCCTCTAAAAAATCCGTAAGTTATTAATATTAATTAACGAATTATAAGTGCCGGGACTTAAAGTACTTAATAAAAAAATCTTGCGCTGATTGACTAATACATGGCATAAATCTGCTTTATTCAGCAGCTGCAACAACTGATACGATCAGGCAAGTCCAACTGTCCAACTTAGTATTTTCAGCTATATCCATATGAAAGAATACTTTGGTATCTTTTTCTGCGGGCTTGGCCCAAAGCGGACAATATCACACCATGTTAAGAGTGTATTGGGGCTAGTTTATCCCAACAACTGGTATCAGAGCCCAGGTTCAGCGGAATGAGTATGGAGATGGCAGAGTGATGGTGCGGGGAGGCATGCACACACAAGAAGAAGCTAGTTGCGGGCTTCGGTTGCCATAATACTCTAACAATGTGGGTGGCACACAGTAATCTCGAAAATTGACCCGTGGATCGTGGTAATGGGCCACGTGGAACTTAGTTCGAGGGGGAGATTGTTGGGTGTGCGAACAAAGTACCACATTGGTAGCTGAAAAGATTGGGAGTCTACATATAAGGTGTAGGGATCTCTTAATGGTGTGAGGCCTTTTGGGGAAAACCGTGCGGGCTTGGCCCAAAGCGGACAATATCACACCATGTTAAGAGTGTCATTGGGCCGTTTAAGCCCAACACGATGCTGCCCCCATCAAACCCAAGAAGTCACGGAAGAATGAGAATATCATCGCAATCACGGCTGTCACACCATAACATATGTTGGTCTGGAATGCTGCTCGACCAGCCTGAATATGTTGACGTTGTATACGCTACACTATGAAACTTCCAGAGTGTATTCAGAGGTGACAAATTCGCTGTCTAGCCATTGCTGGCTGGAATGAGCCCCACAAATCCATATGAGGGTTTGGCAGAAAACCTAAGTCGCGATAATTCATTTGGTATTGTTAGACTATTATTTGCATATTAAGTACAGTGACCAGGTATTGACAATGTGTTACAGAAGTTTCATCGGGTAAGGTCCGATAATGTGGATGCCAATGCAAACGTATATCGAGATGTAATATCTGAGTGATAGGGCAAAATCTGCCCTCACATCCAATATCTTGATCATTATCCTCTTACTGGGTCGTTGTTGTTGTTGAATAATTTTAACAGGAAGAATTCTCTGTACATTTGCTTAAAGCATGATACATATTACTCCCAAAAAACAACAAAAGTATCACAGTTCATATTGCAGCGGAATTTTAACAGAAAGCAGGACTGGAGCTTTAGCCTTAAACATAAGTACTCAAGTTAATTCCCATTGAGCTTATAATTTCGATCATTCTAACTGTACTTTCTTATGCTTTTGTAGTCCGTCTGAAATCTTCTTACATGTCACTAATTATTGAATATTTAATATGAATATCCCTTTTCTAGGAAATTGAATTGAGAACCAAGCTAATGGCTTCTTTGTCGAGGACACAACGAAGATGTTAAATTGTAGTGGTAGAAAGATTTATGTGAAGGGTTTTAGCTTTGATGATTAAGAACTCCCATTTGAGATGAGAAAGTATCACCAGCTATGGTGAATTATAGTAACTAAACGTGCCTTGCATCATATCATGTCAATATGTAGATAATTTATATGTAAATAGATTACTCTCATATCTTTTTTCGCAAGCACATATCATCCCTGAATGACTTTGTACAACTTGAACAATTGTGTTCCTAAAGAAATGCAATTAGTATGAAACAATCGGTATGCAACACTATCTCTATTTGATTCGATATTATGTGAAATTTTTGGTCTCTTATTTCTTTTTTCTGTAAAAATTCATGTCAACATAAAGGTGACCAAGGTTAATTAATTCTCTTACTTAAGCAATAAAAATGTGAATATCATTATTCAGTTTTTTACAATATTGGGCCCGCAACGCGGGCCAGAACCCATCTAATACGGATATAGGGTATACCAACATGTTATATCTGCAATTTAGTTGTCATAATTTCACTTTATTACCCCAAATGATGTAGCAACCAAATTTCATCCGAGGCATTTTTCTCTTTTTGCTTCCCCTTTCCCTTATTCACGAGTCTAGAACATCATAAATTGGCTAGTTTTGTGCTGATTGATAAAGCCTACTGCACGACATCCAAAAAATAAAACAGAAAAAGAAAGTAGTATAACTTAGTGGCATGTAGATCCTAACCCACGATAGTTCTACTAATCAACTATAGTAATCTATATGATCTGATTTCTTATAATTTAGCTAGATTCATATTTAGTACTTTGATAACTAATTAAGAGTAGTTAGTTAAAATAAGGCAACAAATTAAAAATAAGACATGAGAAAGCAACAAATTTTATGGCAAGTAGTTGTTAGGCCACATCACAACCACATATGAATTATAATTGGAAGTTATACAAAAAAAAACTATATATAGTACACTCTAATAGATGGATTTATTAATACAGTTGAACAAAAAAATGGTTTAGAAATTTAGTAGTATCTAAAACCAGAATGCAAGTTTACGTTTACCAAAACCCCAGATTTGGTTACCAACTTGAAAAACCCAGTCGCAGACTTGGTTTTGTCAATTCTTCTTATGCACCAAAATTCATTCAAATCAACTTCTTTTGCACAACCTATCATAATTGGAACGTGAATCTAAGGCAACCACCAGACCCTGCAATGGTAGTAAAAGGCCCAAAAATCTCAACCAGTATGACCCTGGAAAACCAAGATTTTGCTAACAAAGAAGAGGCTCGTGAAACCATTTTCAAGGTGCTAAAGATTTTTTTTAAAATTTCCCTTTGGTTCAAAATGTATATACTCCCTTTGATTTCATTTTATGTAGCACTATTTACTTATTAGTCCTTTTAAGAAAGAATGTTCACTTTTTTATATTTAAAAATAATTTAATTTGAAAATCGCATTTTACTAGTAACATACCTTATGAGTCTTGTATAAATTATACTGCGTCATTACAAAAAGGAGGGGAGGGATTTCAAAAAATGAAATATCATGATTATATACTTAGCTAATGTTCATATTTGCGGGTGCTAAAGAATTGGCATGCTTCAGATGTTAATTGCAAAAAGATCTTCGATCAACTAAATGCGATGGCACAAAATTCTAGGGATTATTGCTTGGTGCTGGTCGATGGTCGACCAGCACTACAACTAACTGTTAAGGTTATATTGCTTTATCGGTACATTCAGATGGGAAGTAATAGCAATGGCGGTATCATATCAACTAATTCTAGTGATGGGAATTGCTTGCTTTGCAAAAACGAGCTCGTTGGTAATTCGAAAGTAACAAGGATGTTATGTTCCCATGTGTTTCATATCAATGGTTGTCCATCTTGTGTTGCCAATGTTGATGGCTTAGCTGATTACATGTTATCCAACATGAAACTTTAAAGTTAGGTTTATTAAACCAAGATTTTATTAGTATTCATTGGAAGAACTATTGAATTGCTGAATAAAATTGAAATATGTGCTAGTTGTTAATTTGAAATCCTTTTCTGGATTGATATTTCTTTTAATTTTATCCTTACCTGGATTTTTTTGTAAGGGACAAATTTCACTAGAAATGTCCCGAGTTATAATGTGATCAGTAATATACACTAGTAAAATTTACTACTTTTTTGTAGTACAAAAAAAAAAACAAGTGTTTCTTCTGCTTTTTAGTGCTTTCGTATTTATTAATTTACAATTATAACACTGTGAATTGCCGATTCCAATTTCCAAGGGCGGTTTCTAGGATATATAGAATCGGTCTTTTACATTTTGAACATTTTTGGGTTATAACATTGTTTTAATCTTTAGTTTAGATAAACGAATTATATAAAGAAAAGAAAAACTTAATATTTACGCTGAAAACTAAATTTGTACTTATACAAGTCATCAAGGTTTAAATCTATATCTATATACTATATTAAAAGCACGAAGCTCCTTAGTGGAATGTCGTTCGTCTTTTTTACCCTCTAAAAATAGATTTCATATTGGACAAAAGTATAATTTAATTATTTTCCTAATATTTTGGATTATATTAAATTAAATAAAACTCCTAAAATTTAGGAATTTAATTCTTTCTTTATACGAATTTTACTTATATAAATTTTATTGAGGAATTCTTAATATTATAACCTTAATTAATTAGAATCCTTCACAATAGAGTTCCTTCTTGAAAACTTCGGTTCTTCTAATTTCTTTTTTCGAAACTTCGATTCTCTATCACTAATATTCAAGAACACAATTGCTTCCATCTTGAGTAGTGAATAGGAGTCCTCGATCATCTTAAGAACAAGTGGTTCCAATGAACGTAGCAGTATGTTTGCTCATCTATTCCCACAACTCATGGTGTTAATAAATAGATTAAATGGGTTTTAAATCAAATTTCTTCATGAAACACACTAGGGATCAAGCAAAGAACACGAACATCAAAAGTTCAAACAACAAAGTCACCTTGATAATTGTTCAAGGAAGATTGTTGTTGGTCATATAATTAGATTGAAGATTCTTTAATTTTCATTCATTTAATTCCTTTTTTTCTTTTTGGGTTTGAGAGCAAAGACTTCAAAGGCATAATATGCCTTTTTCTTAATGTTTTGTTAATTAACCTTTTATTTCAGTTAATTATTCAAGGTGAGTAATTCAGTGGTTTTATTTATATGAGGTCAAGTATTTTGTATGTGCATTCATTAATTGGCATCACCTCTGTTAAGATTATTAAATTTTGAGAACGTAATAATATTTGAAAAAGGTGCTGCTAAATGGATGGATCTTATCAACGTCCATGAATGATAAATCATAGATCGAACCGCCGAATCGGAAAAATTAGGTGCTATTTATATTCAACACTTAGAACAAACAACAGAAAAAATATTTAACAATAAGAGAGAGAGAGAGTAAGATTCTTATTGGAGAAAATTATCATTAATTTAAAATTTGTGATGGGCTAAAATTAAGAATTTGAATCAACAAAATAACTGAATTTTTTTAATATTGGAATTAAATCATTAAGAATATAAATTAACTAATTAGCAAAAGAATCTGATTCTATTCTTTTAAAATTCATCATATGAGTGAAATCATTTTTTAGTTAATACAACTCTCAAGATATATAAATTTATTTCTAAATGAATAATACTACAGTAAAAGAAATCATAAATTTTGCAAAGTCACATAATATTAAGAGTGAAAATTGCTAAAAGGCAAGCTCGAAGGAAAGGAATGCAAAAATGGTGCCACATTCCAAAGTAATATTGTCTTATTTTTGTTATTATCATTTTATGGAAAATTATATCAATTTGATTATTTAGGTATATAATAGAATTTCCTTAATCCTTTAAATAAAACATTCCTTCTATGTATAAAATTTAGGTACAAAAATATAAATGCACATTTAAATAATACTATAATACATATAAAATTTTACATTATTATAATCTCAAAAACAACACTAAATTCTAGATAATACATTTGAAATGACACGATAATTGCATGTCAAATATATATTATTTAGTTATAATTTTTTAAATTTTATATTTTTTTATATGGGTACACGCGCGAAGCGCGTACCCTAAGACTAGTAGAAATAAAAATGCAAAAGCCATAAATTTTTCACCTGCTGTCATATTACCAGATATTGTGTCTTGGGGATTCTTTGAATCCATCATTCCCTAAAACAACAACAACAACATATTCAGTATTATCTGACACTATGGAGTCTGGGGAAGGTAGTGTATATACAGATCTTATCCCTACTTTATAAGTGTAGAAAGTTTGTTTCCAATAGATCCTCGGCTCAGACAATCCCTAAAACATTATTTCAAGTAAATTTCAGAAAGTTCCACCAAGAAAAAGGAAAGAACTTTACACAATAGACTGAGGTTGGGAACATACAACAATGACACAAATCCCTAATTAAACAACATCCAAGCACATAAAAAATTACAAACTTTGAAGTAATTAAAACGAAACATGTTCGTTAAATGGCAAATTTCTAATGATAGGTCCACCAGGCTTGAGAATCTTCTCTACATTGGATGTTCCCTATGGAAAGGCTTGAAACCTCCTAAATTTGCTGAGAGATATGGAGGCTTATATTAAGTAGAAATAATTTTCCATAATATATAGTTAATACGAGTTTATAGTTTATGCAACATTTATAGCAACGAGATAAGCAATAAAAAAATAGAAAAAAGATAAGAACTATCTAAACAAAACCTAAAGAATTAGGAACTATCAAATCTGAAATTTCAAAAAAAATAAGAATTAGATAATTATCAGTTGTTACACCCTCGGAAGTTTGTGTTATTAGCAATGTCGAGCCCCTTTTTTCACGCGAAATCGGGTTTATGACATTTGGGAAGACAACTCGTTCCCTTTTGGGAATTGGGTTTTGAATTGAAGAGTTGCCACCTAATGATTTAAGTGCATTAGGATACTAAGAAAGGTTTGAGTCAAAGTAACCAGAGATTGGGTAAGGGCTTGAAATCATCCCAAGGGGAAGGTGTTATGCACCCCTAAGGATCCACTAGTGTGGTTCCCGGCCAAACTATTGTTGTGACTTAAGTGCAAATAACACATAGGCAAATAAAACTTCAAGTAAGAGGGGATTTT